TTGTGAAAGTTGTTGTAGACTTCACCAAGGACTTCCGAGTCCTCAAAATTTTTCTTCGGTTTCCAGAATTCCGAAACCCGATCCCTCCGCCATGGAGACGTCCTTCGCAGATGCGTTCCTCACCTCTTCGTCCTTTTTGTATGCAGCTTTGACATGGGCAAAGTCTGCATATCTTTCTTGCTCGACTTTCCGAATTGCTGCGAGCTGTTCCTTGGTCACCGGTCCATCTTTTCTGGGTCTGGCTTGGCAGTGCCGAGAGTCCGATCGGTGAGGTCCCCCACAATTGCGACATCGTGTGAGGGCCTTGCACTTCACTTCCGAGTGCATGTTTGAGCCGCAGTTCTAGCAAGCTGGAGCGCGGGAGCATCCGCGGCTTGCATGATAGCCAAGATAACGTTTGCACTGTTCGAGTTGGGGACGAGGTCGGAAGAGCTTCGCAGCTCCAGAGTTGTCGAAGAGGCGGAATCCAGGTCGGGGCGTGGACTCGCGAGGAAAGAGGGCTTGCCAGTTCTCGTATGGCGCCCCAGGCTTGGAGTACCCGTGCGGACGGACAAGAAACGGGACCGATTTCGTCACTCGCGTGACTTCGTCAGCAACCATCTTTGCCGTGATCTCGATGGAACCTGCAAGTGTGTTTATTATCACCGGTACGGTGGCAATTTGCAAGGCAACCAGATTTGACGCTGGTTCCAGTTTGATTCCAGATTCGCTCCGTGACATGGAGGAATCTAGCAGCTCTTTCCGAGCGAGTACATTCTTTGCTGTCAGTGCAAAGCCTGTTTTGACCCGCTGAACCAACGTGATGTCGTTGGCAGCGGTACCGAGCACCTGTGACACAGCTAATCTTACGCCAGCTGGTGACAGGAGTCGGTGGGGGTGGTTAACTTTGAGGCGTAGAAAAAGTCTCGCGTCGACTTTTGTCCTCGGATTGGCACTTTTTGCTTTTGGGGCGGGCGGTGCTGCCTTTGTAGTCGACGGCCCGGGGCTGCGTCCTAGACCTGCACGGGCTACTGTGGCCCAAGTCGTCTTTGGTGCCGGAACCTGGATCGTCGAAGGGTTTTGAGCCCTAATTTCTGGAGCCCTCATCGGAAGAGGGTTATTGGGGCGAGTAGGGAGAATCGGTTGTGTGGTCCCTGGGCCTAATTGTACAAACTGGCCAATGGCCGCTCGTAGGTAGACTTTTATGCCGTCTACGAATTCTTTATTCTCGCCGATCGAAAGAGGCGATAGTGCTGCTTCAACACTGCTTATTGCAGTGGAGCAGATTGACAGACGTGCTTTTATTTGCGTCGTGCGACACTTCTCGGCTTCCATCACTGATTGCAGCTCCGGAGGATATTCCGGTGCTGATGTCGAAGCCGTGCCTTTTGGAGTTGGCACAGTGAATTTTCTTGCAGATGTATCTGCTTGTTCTGTCGTCTTCTCTCGGAAGACTTCCTTTCATTTCCTTGAACTGCTTGCCTCGGGGGCCAGCTCGGCGGGTTTCGCGGTCTGTTGACCATTTGTTTCTGTTCTGATCGGGTCAGAATCAGTCATCTCTTGATCGGGAAGTGTGGAAGACTTCCCAGGGATAAAGGCCTCACTCGCAAATAGGCTTGATAATTTTTGCGCGAGGCCAGGTGTTTTTGCAGGAGCCCTTGGGCGGACTCTCGCGTTGTCCAACATTGAGTTGGGGAGCTTTTTTCGAACAGGTGGCATGATGAAAATGCCAGTGACTCGATTACAATTTATTGAAGGAATGCGACGGGCGCGAGAGGGAGGGAGAGGGGGAAAAGGTGAGTATACGAAAATTCGGATTTCAAAAAAATGTGGGTGTGTTTGTGTGGTTATTGTACTGCTTGAGTCTATGACTATCTAGTACATTTGGCTCCTCTCTGACCCTGGCCACACCTTGTACAGTGCTCAAATCCTCTTTTATTACTTGAAAGATCATTGATATGTTCCCCTTGATGAAAGGCCATTCAGCTCAGTATTTACCCGTGAAATTCGGCCGTCTTTTCCACAGAACCTTCGACCTAAAAAAAATAGTAGAAATGGAAACTGCGTGCGCGGGAAAATGTCTCAAAAAGCCTGCAGCCCAAACCAGGCGAGGCCTAGACATCGGTACCACATGAGGTGCGCATATTCATCTACATCTCCCTTCTTTAAAACAGTCGAGGTCGACTTAATCCAAGCCGCCATCTCCGTATTGGGTGCTGGGTACGCTCCGAAAACTCATCGGATGGCTTTTCCTCCATGATCAAAGGTGGGTGATGAGTAGAGCTCCGACCCTACCATCTGATCTGATCGCGGTTTACTTCATGATAATGGTGATAATATTAAGATTGTGAGCACATACGGGTCGAATCTCTACCTTGGAAGGATGCTATATGTGTTCGTAGAACACAGACGTAGATATAGAAAAGACTTGTGTTAACTGAGGGACGCTTGTATTCAGATGACTTTTGCTTGCTCCTACTGCTAGGAGATACATCTCATGATATACATGTCCTGGATAGCCATATCACAGTTCCTACACTAACCAGTACATTCCATTCCATTCTACTCTATACTATTCGATCCCATACCATTCCATTACAAATCTATGATGCCCTAATTATAGGTTGCCCTCAAGTCCATGTCCTTGGACTTGCATGAAATATTGGCATGGATAAATCTGCACAGATCTGGGATCTCTTGGCAGATTATAACAGATAGGGGAATGTGTTGAGGGATGAAGACGATACAGACCGCGAAAGCGATTGGGAACCCTTATCGAAGTGAGGACTTTGTTACTCAATCTCGGCTCTGTAGACTCTACAGTGAGAGCTGGAGGTTCGTAGAGGACACCACTGACAGGTATTGAGAATAGTCCCCCTCGAAGAAGTTCTTCCGGAAGGAATTAGGGAAAGTTAATAAGAAGCGGTAATTTAACGACACAGCAACCCTTCGGAAATTCCTCTCTGACTTTAATCCTAAATTTTTAAGATTTTTATTGCATGTCATAGTGATAAATACACAGTGGATACGATTACAGTGTACTTGAAGAAGATTTCCAAAGATTTGACATGAGAATCGGCACTATGGGAATTTTTTGTGCAGCCTAACTCGTGATACCAAGATCTAACAGCCTGACGCTACCTTCCAATATCCAAAATCAAAATTTTAAGAAAATATATTATTTAATTAAGACAAGATGTTTGTGACTAAGTGAGCTGGCACAAGGCAAGTATCCCAAACAATACACATGAGATCATTCGGAAGTTTATTTGTTCTAGTATAAATTTGAGAATATTGGCAAAGGTTATGAGGCATGAAAAAAAATATTTTAATTACCCTTGGGTTTGAGTAGTAGCCTCGTATCGCCATTTCATTAACTTCTGTCACGGCCGGTCTCATACGATTCTTAGGTCAAAATCTTGCATAGCAAGAAAAATACTCAGATACTTGTATCTACACGTAAAAAGAGAAAGCTGATCAGAATTTTTTGGCAACTCAACTCTTTATCCAAATATATTCCGCTATTTTGATTTGTATTCATTATCCTGATTTGGCGCCCTATGGGCCCATGCAGGTGGCTATAAACCTATCTATATATTTACATAGGAGGAAACCTCTCGGCCCCCGATGTTCTCTGACATAGTTTGAGTAGTCTGGGCACCTACTCCACTTGGGAAGGAGAAGCCAAAGACCATATTTCGCGCGGAGAAAAGTTGAAAGACGATGGAGGCATGTTTGGATAAGTCGGGGTTTTTGAGATGTTCCCCTGGGTGGGTATTCACGGATGAGGGTTGACTTGGGGTGAAGAAAAAGCTGCCATAACTTCGCTGTGGTACTTGCAAATGAAATCTGAGGCATGAGTGCTCTTCCCTTACGTTGAATCATCTATTCTGTACTTTTCTTTGATATTGAGTCATCGCTAGATAACTCCATACGCAATTAAAATCTGATGCAAAAAGAAACTCTCGGTAAAAACCTCCCCAGCTTTCTAATTTGTATCTTTGAAATTTGCAATTTATCCTTCAGGTAGCACGGTTACATTGTAGTGCCGTCTGTGTGTATCAATCACATCCTTTGTAACGACTCCAACTTTGTGCTAGTCCTGTCACGTTCCCTAACCAGCATTTCGATTTCATTTGTCATGCGGAAATGATCTATCCAACCATTCCTAAGAATCCATTGCGTAATTCTTTTAATGTCGCCAGGGTCGTCTATCTTTGCTTCGTAGGACCGATCTTTGGCTTGTCTCCAGATCTCACCCTTACCACTTGACTACTTAGGACAGGACATAATCATATGCTTGGGATTTTGTGACTGGTAGCCACACGGACAGCATGAATCGTAGACTCCTGGTACTTTTCTTCTATGCAAATACGAATTAAACCCTATGTGCTCGCTTCGAACTTGGATTGCTAGACTACTTTGAGCCCTTGTCAGGTTTTTATGGGGAGTAAGAGGAGATTTCTGGAAACTTATTCTTTGACTTCCACAATTTCGGCATTGATAGAACTTAGCTGCTTTACAAGTTTCAGGATCTGCTATAGTACGTTGTTGGGGCTGTCGACCTCGCTTTGGGGTAGACCAAGATTTCGCCCATTCTAGGTATGCTGCGATCTTTAGCGCTTCTTTCTGTACATCTTTAGATTTTTCCTCTGCAAATTCCGCTAATTATTGATAAAACCCAGTCTTAGTACTCGCCGGCTATGGTGTTTGTTTTTTTGTTTTTATTGTACTAGTTAAGTCTATGAGTATCTAGCGCCGGCTAGTTAGATCCATCAAGTTAGGGACCAAGATAGAATGGCTGGCAATCTCGAATAACGGGAAAATGTAAGGCGCCAGGGAAATTTGAGAGATATTTATGTGACTTGGTTCGCAGGCTAAGGGTTAGGGTGGGCTGACCATATAGGTTGTTATGCTGGGTGCGCGTGCCTCTGCCCGTTTCGGCCGCATTACAGGTACGTCCGGTGCGCTTGCTCTTTAAGTTCACAACATGTTACGAGTATCTTTTTAAATATCACACCATGAACCCTCAATTTAACTCATACTCATCTAAATCATCAATTAAACCTGGTCAGCAATCGTCCCTCTCGTCAGCTAAGGTGCTAGGATCTCATGGAATAGCTACGGCTCATCAACAACACACAGAAAACCGAGGGTCAGCTAATGGGAATGATAAATTACATCCTAGTGGAAAGTCATCGTATTTTGATTCTAGGCGTCAGTCGAGCTCACATTTCCCAAACGGGAATGTCGACTTAGTTATAAGTGGATCCATTTCTCCCAGCGGGGCAGCAAACGAGGCTCAAAGTCAAACTCGGCACGCTGACGATCATCGCAGTCCTGCAAACATAAGTTTGCCCTCTCAACGCGCCACATCTTTTCCCGGGGACCACCCCTCTCTTGGTCCAAGAAGCAATCCCGAATCAGGAACATCAAATCAACCACAGTATCACAGTATGGCGCAGCAGATTCCTGGGTCACTTCAACCAGGACGACCGGGACTGACGTCTCTAAACTCGACTAGTTCTGGGACTACCAATACCCAAACAGTATCTCTAGATCACTTTTCAACTCCTGCAAGACCATCAGGCTCAGGCCTCACTCATACATATACACGTTCAAGTCCAGCTGGGTTTGAAAGCCACATGTACACACCATTTACACCCAAGACACCTCAAAATAATGAACAATTCAGCTCTCCTACGAATCAGAATTATACCCCCCAAAATTCTCAACGAGTTGTATCCAATACCCCACTCGGCCTTGCAGATATCAGGCCTCGTGCAGACTCAGGAGTATCTGAGGGCCTGTCTGGAGGTAACTATTTTTCAAATGACGTTGTCGATCCAGGGCCAAAAACTAGCAACTACCAAGCACCATGGGCTTTATATGCATTCGACTGGTGTAAGTGGCAGGTACAAGGCGATGATGCAGGCAAAGTAGCCGTGGGTAGTTATCTTGAAGATAGTCAAAATTTTGTAAGAACATATATGATTTTTCCGACTCACTCTTACACGTGTTTACTCAGATTCAAATTCTTGACTCACACATTACTCCCACACCGCCTGAATTATACAAGCCTGGTGCATCAAAGTATACTCTCGACTTTGTCAAGGTCGCAGAAGCAACACATTCTTATCCCGTGACGCGCCTCCTTTGGGAGCCACCATCATCCCAAAAACAATCAACCGATTTGCTTGCAACTTCTGGTGATCATCTTCGACTCTGGTCTCTTCCATCCGAAAATCCCCCCAAACCGCAGGGAAATTTGATTTCAAGGTCCACAAACCACAGTCGAGATGCTGCTGTCGGAAAAATCACTCCTCTAGCTCTATTGTCTAATTCGAAAACTCCAGATCATACTGCCCCTTTAACATCTTTAGATTGGAATACCATCTCACCTAGTCTTATCATAACATCAAGTATAGATACAACATGTACGATTTGGGACATACCAACGCTAACCGCGAAGACACAGCTCATAGCTCATGATAAGGAAGTGTTTGACGTTAGGTTCTGTGCTAACAGTATTGACGTATTTGTGAGCTGTGGCGCGGATGGTAGTGTGCGAATGTTTGATCTTCGAAGCTTGGAACACAGCACAATAATCTATGAGCCCAGCTCCAAGGACGAGAAAGGTACTTGCTTCGCTTAATTTATTTCGAATATACTGACTTTCGTGTAGATAGCAGCGCCAATGGTGGTAGAATCAGCCCAACATTGGCCCAGCAAACCATGTCATATGCACCGCCCTTACTGAGGCTTGCCACTTCTCCACATGATACACATTTGCTAGCGACATTCTCTCAGGACTCTAAGATTATCAGGATCCTCGATGTACGGCAACCAGGCCAAGCACTACTTGAGCTGAAAGGTCATGCAGCAGCTATCAATTGTATAGAATGGTCGCCATCTCGAAGAGGTACTCTGGCTTCAGGCGCCGATGATTCGCTTGTGTTGATTTGGGATCTCCTTAATCAGAATATTGCACTTCCACGAATGGGACAAACAGCTAATGGTCATGATTTGTCCGATAATTCGCGTGGACCCTCTGCAGGCTGGCAGTGTGAATATGAAGTGGCCAATGTTAGTTGGGCGCCTCATAGCTCTCTAGATAACGACGGTGGTGATTGGCTTGGGGTCAGCGGCGGGAGAGGTATCTGGGGCGTTCGGTTATAATTAAATGTGATTGCAATAGGATCAGCTCATGCTACACACGCCTTGGGAATTTGTATATATGATTGGCCGGTAGACTCCCAAGGACATAAGGCGTTTAAACCTACCAATTTTTTTTTCGCATAGCTTATTATATTTAAGCCAAGGAAAAAGATTGAATCTCATCAGGATCAATTTCTATTAGCGGTCTAGTAGCAATCAATTTCCTTGCCATTTCTAATTGTCTTTTATTGGAGAACTGGAGGTTCAGACTTTGAAGGATGCATGTGAAAAATGTTTCTAAGTTGATTTTTGCTGTAATATACAACGCTATCGTACAGGAGGACCTTAGAGATGGGCTTTGTCCATGGTTTGCACTGCCATGGCTCCAACTTAATGTAAGCAGGGCGGCAGAAAGCCTTCTGGCATAAGATAGGCCACTAGGTTCTTCAGTAGATTCCATACACTCCCTGGTTGTGCCACAACATGTAGCTCTCTGCCTTCCATGAAGTAAAGATTAAAGGTGCGAGCCTTGAAAAAGTCACAGCAGAAAGACTTTCCACAGAATTTATGCCTTTGTTCGCGAAATGGAGGTATTTATGTGCTCTTGCTGTGTATTTTTCGGCTACTCAATGATTGAGATGATTGCAGACAAATGAGTTTGCTTCGTCTTAAGGTATTTAGGGCAACATGAGGTGAAAATCAACGCCATTTGCAAAGAGTAGAAAGCTGTGAATTGGCTAAACTCTATTTTAGTGGGGTACAATTGATAGCAAGATGTAGATCGGCGACAGGGATAGATTCGGGGTGCCTATTTTTTTTTCCTATCAGATTTTAATTGCGTATGGAGTTATCTAGCAAGACATAATATCAAAGAAAAGTACAGAATAGATGATTCAACATAAGGGAAGAGCACTCATGCCTCAGATTTTATTTGCAAGTACCACTGCGAAGTTATGGCGGCTTTTTCTTCACCCCAAGTAAGCCCTCACCCGCGAATACCCGCCCAGGGGAACATCTCAAAAACCCTGACTTATCCAGACATGCCTCCGTCATCCAACAACTTGTCTCCGCGCGAAATATGATCTGAGATGTCTCCTTCCCAAGTGGAGTAGGTTCCCAGGCTACTCAGACTATACCAGAGAACATCACCAGGAGGCGGCCATGGCACCTTCCATCGTCGACTTGTTTTTATAGTGTCAGCTGCACTCTCGCAAGCGAATTCTTGGCGCGCACAAAGCTCAATTTGTAAAACTCTTGCCAAAATTCGACATTTCACGTCCGTCGAGGTTGTATACTTCCTTTGCATCATCTTGTAAACTTGTCCCGATTCCTCTCACGTCCATCTCAAAGAACTGTCTCCCAGATTTGTGCTCCACGCTTTGCTTTCTCCGTCGGGTATAAATATCGGCATGGGCGTGTATTTGGTGGTCAACTGAAGCCAGAGAAAGTCGACGAGAGGTATGGTCATTGGGATGAGGATTTACTATGTCGTACTTGTAGACTTGATGAAGCTTAGTTGAGAATCGGACTCTTTTAGAACGAAAAAACGACGTGGAGGAGTAAATTGAATCATTGCCTCGTGGGCCAACTTCTTTCATATTGCAAAAATTGACTGAACTTGGCTCTGGGAGAATAATTCACTCCCAGGTTCGTAGAGGACACCGCGTTCAGGTGTTCAGTCTTGCCCTTCTGGGACGATGCTCGTGTACTTGATGGCGACTAACCCAATGTAGCCAGGCCCGGCCTGACGAGACCTTAAGCTACCCTTTTCTTTTGTACATCAGATTTTAATTGCGTATGCAGCTATCTAGCTATGACACAATATCGAAGAAAAGTACAGAAAAAATGACGCAATTTACAAGAAGAGTACTCATGCCTCGGATTTTATTTGCACGTAACAAGCTCAAGCTATCAGGAGAGTGCACAAAGTTCAAATTCATTAGCATGTTAGTAAAGATTCATAAAAAATGATCAAATCGATCAGTCTTTGGCTATCCAAATTAGACCTAAGAGATAACATTGTGATACCGAGTGTAACAAAAGGTGTATACGAAAAACATTATCACATAGAGTAGTTGCACTTTCCCCAAGAAGTCAAAGGAAATGAATTGGGAAATGGTGATGGTTAAGTTATTATACATTGGGATGTGTATTCTCTATCTTCATGACTATCACATCTTTAACTTGACGCAGGTAAACTCACATCAACATGTCTCAAAAACGACTTTCCCATTATCCTCCCGTGAATTTTTATATCCGCAACTATTATTCCGTTTATCCCATAACCTCAATAGACCAGCCCAAATGATGAAGTTCTAAACTCCTTGTAAACAACAGTCTCTAGAATGTCGCCTATACCCCCGGAGCGGAGTCTTAATACGCATAATGTTCTTCAAAGTTGGGAATTCCTTTAAGTCAAATATTCACACATTCTAAGGCTGTAACTATCCAGATTAGTATCCGCTAGCTATCAAACCACCTTTCACGACCTTAATAGAGATTTATCTCGCCAGATATACGTGCCGCGGGTTGAGACCTTTGGACTTTAACATTATGGCCTTCTACTTGGTGGTCATTTTGGACCCAATAGATAAAGTTTTAACTCACTGCAAAGAGATTCAACCCCTGAAGAGTAGAGTATCGAGACGGTTGGAAGTGCTGTACCCTTGCCTCGTGAGACAACTCCTATGCTTCAAACTGTGACTGGAGCTCGCCATGGTAATCCCTGTGAGGTATTGGGTCACCATCTTCCTCGCTTGTCACGGTAAAGGAAGATAGATCGACGAGGTCAAATCTGGTAGAATAGATTGTCTACAAAGGGCAATAGGAACTTTTGCTGAGTTCCGTTAAGCTATATGTGATGGGCTATCAACAAAACAATAAGAACAAAGTCAGCTAGCCGTAATACAGTCTATTTTCTAATTATCTAGGAAATGGTATCTATCTAGGCTGTAGGACATATATAAATGTAGTCCTGACCCCAGGGAGGTTAATATTCATCGAATCGGCGATCACTTATAATCCCATAAAAGAACATCGGCGATTAGTACATAGATAGGCACAAGTACATGGATGTAAGGCGCAGCCTGTAACACTTGCATCCACGGGTAAAATTGTTTCGTTGGCCCAGTAGCTTGCGGTATTTTGCTGGTAGGTTGAGTTAAACATATCCCCAATCATGATATCTTCGTTAAATGTATCGTGTGGAGTGAAGCTCTCCACCCTTTTATGGCCTTGCGCTTGCGACCGACGGGGGTGGTAGATTAAGTAGTTTTTGCTGGTGTTATTTTGGAACCAAAAAATCACCCTTTTGTTGTAATGGAAGTTGTATAGAGAAGCGTAAGCTGTTAGGCTTATATTTAATATCACCTAGTGAAGCGATTTGGGAGATTGAAGAGTCTGAAAACTATAGTGGAGAGTTGTTGATTAAACACACCTAGTATCAGAGCGCTATTTAAACTAATTACTACATCTAAGTGAAGGACACGATTCACTTGTTTATGCTAAATAATTGGGAGACTGGTCAATGTATGAGTCGTCATGAATGTAGCTAGTAATAATAGAACCTTATTACGTTCCGTATTAATGCGACTCTTCATTGTCAAGTAGCGCCAATTTTAATACCTTTTTCTGATCTTGCTTCGAATTTGCTTGTCTTGGGTTCGATCAGTTTGTATGCACGGCATCCGAAGCGAGGTAAAGTTGTAAAATTGACTTTCTCATTATGCGGCTGGTTAAGGCCTTGCAGGAAATCAACTATAGGCACGTTTTTGGTGCTGAGATAGTAAAGCTTATTGCTTATGAAGCACTAGTACTATACGGCTCATGGCCAGATAACTGGTGGCATGCGGGCGTCAATTATTATGGATCTGGTTATTTTGAGAATAACTTTATTAGATGACTCAGATATGCCATTTTGCTCAGGGGTGTAGGGTCCGAATGCCATTCTGATTGCAGAAGTCTTTAGTTCGGCTAAATTCGGAATCTCCGTCTCGAAATATAGCACGCACTAGCTTTTAGTATTGCTGCTGCTTTATCCAATCTACAAGAATTATTGCAATTTCATCTTTGGTGCGCGCAGTTATTGCCAATCTCATCCTGGTCTTTAAATCGGCTAGTATAACGATATATTGTTGGTTACTTAATGATGCTGCAAGTTTACCGACTGTATCAACCGAGACTTCATCTAGAGGTTTACCGGGTAACGGCTGTGGTTCTTTTGATACGAACGGCTGTGCTTTGCTCAGATGGCATGTCTCACAGATGCTGAGACTTGATAAATCTAGACCTTCTAACCCCAGTGAGTGTTGCGCCGTACGTTTTTGCACTCGCTGCCCAGTATGTCCAGGTCTTTCGTGCCATCGTTGAGTGCTAACTTGTTGTGGTACTCTTGCTACGCCTGGTGCGGCGATTTCAATTTTGTGGACATTAGGCTTGTTCCGTGTCGGTCGAATGAAAATGACATTATTAATAGTCTCCAGTCGTGCAATTGGCTGCGATTTGGAGCCTTTTACTTTCACTAAAATTTCATTACCTTGTGCAGATACATTGCTATGCTCGGATTTTAATCTGGCTGCTGAGATTATAGTGCAGGTTGATTCGGGCGAGTAAAGGCACTCTGTTAGTGTGACTAGTTAACTGCCAATCTGTACCTAGCAGGTTCCTTTGTATAGTAGCGTTGTGTTACCAGCCACTTGGTCGAAACGGAAAGGTGTTTTCAATCGATTAATCTCTATGAAGTCACTTTTGCGACGAAAAAAAGGTGCGAGGCACCAGTGTCATAAAGTAAAGGATTCATTTGGGTTGCTGTTAGCGCTCTATCGAAGCTGGCGAGGTGTCTGGCGGTTTCGACATCACTATCCTCATCGTTCGTGTTTTGCTCTGCCATATTTACTCTAGCAGTCTCCTGATTCTTTCTCCTATTCTTAAATTTTCTCCGTGATACTAGCTCTGGATGCTGTATGAAACTGTCTTTATTAAGGTGCCTGTGCTTGTAGAGCTTGCATCTCTTATCATCATAC